AAAAATGTTGTTCAAAATTTAACAATTTTAGAACAAATTTTGCTGTCACGCGTTTCATACCCAAAACATTCGAAAAAATTTCATGGGATAAGCCAATCGATATACCAACATCATCAGCGACTTCTCTGATGGTTTATAACCATTTCTTCCACTTTTTCGATGTTTTTATCGGTTGTTAATGTGCTTGTGCGTTCGGGGCGTTCGTCATCTTCAACGTCTTCACGGACATCTTGGAAACTCTTATACCACTTGTAAACTCTTGTTTTACTTATAGCAGACTCACTATAGGCCTTTGTTAACATTTCACAGAATTTATTTTATTTTTTAAGCAAAATTGGATACAAATTCTTTGATCCATTTCTTTTAGCGAACGAAAAATCGCCGAGCTCATAAAACACGTCTAACCTTAGCGGACCCTCCGAACCCGCGAAATTTAACAATTCCCGTTATTTTCTGAACACACCTCGTACATACAAAATATTGATATGCTTTGCAGTGGTGCTTTTTTTATGAAAAAGACATAATGAAAAATAAATTTGCTACTTGAAAAGTTCGCAGTCATTTCCCGAAGGGCTTCGCTCGAGTGTTTGCTTAGTGCGGTCAAAAGGACGCGTTCTGTAAAGACCACAATATCCGCTCGAAACGAGTATTTTATTTTTTTTCAAGAAACTTACATAAGAACACATGTGTTTTTTATGCGCAACATAATTATTAGGTAAAAATCGACATTTGACCTCGCGTATGTTGCAAAACTTACGAAGATGTTGGATTTTTTTTTATACACATTGGCAAAAAATACTATTTACGTCACGATTTAATAGTTTCATTATTAAAAAACATTGCACATTACTCTATTCATACGGTGAAAGTGTGAATGTGTGAATATATTGAGAAGTGAAAATGATTATTTTTTATTTTTGGTTATTTCACTGTTAGTCTAGAATGGGGTTTTTGGGAAGCCACCAGGTCTAATAATAACATAACATAAGTGGTTCTGCCATAAAGCAAGAATTTTAAGAAATCATACATTTTGAATATTAGAGCTTTACGGAGGTTAGGATTTTGTATGTTTTTTTTTAAACATCCCTTTGTATATTTGAAATAAGTTATTGTATCTTTTGTCACCTTAATATTTTTTTAAAATACAATTGTACATAAAATATTTATAAAAAAATCTACTTACTGAGATATTACACTTCACGGTGGATAGGTTTTTATATAGCAAATTAATGAAATGGTTTTTGCTTATTTAAAATGATAAAAGCGCCATCCGTTGCATAAAATTTAAAGCAAAAACAGATTCACGGAGGATAGAATCAATTTTTGTAACACCTACATAAATGGTTATAAACATTATTTCTTTTAATTTTGAATAATATTTTATATTTGATTCGATTGCTTTGGATGTGTTTAATTTACTTGATATTTTTAGTATGCTTTTACTACCTCAGATAGTTGAATACATATAGGTTAACCTAGAAAGAGTAACATTCTCGGAGGATAGGTTTTAGACTTTAAAAACATTGTAAAAAATAATTAATTGCGGTTAAAAATCTGGAACCTGTGCTGTAATATATACTTAATTATAAAAGATCAAAACACAATAATAGTGTAGGTCAAACTCATTTAGTTTTATTAAATATCACGGTGTAACACCATCGTGAGATTCACCCGAATATATTTTTTTCGATTTTTGTATAAACAAATATTTTCCCTCACATATATATTTTTTTAATATTAGGTACAAAAATCTGGTATTTCGTGTCAAAATTGTAACCTTGGTATTTATGGCCTTTTGTATCGGAAAATACCAGGTAAAAATACTCGAAATGGTTGTACTATATACTATGTTTTGTAACCCTGAGAATTGGAGTGATATGTCATAATTTTGAACAATACATTTCATAGAAATCGTGAGCAAAATTTTTTTCAATACAAGGTAATACGCTACCACTGATTAACCTCTAATATTAGTTCAAATGTACGTACGATATTAAATTGGATTTAGTGAGACTAATGTGGGAAATGATTTTAATTCGATTAGATATGGCTTCATTATAAATTTGTCAGATTTAAAAAAATTGTACATATATGTATACAACAAACTGCTTACGTATTTGATAATTTAAAATAATATACGCAAAAGTTTTCTTAAAATAGATCTATAATAATAAACTTTGTAGTAATTTGAGTGTTATTAATATTAATGTTTGGGATTTAAATCAATTAAATTCCCTAGGGTTTCTAAAGTGCTTATTATATTCTTATAGCTTTCCTTTTGTTCAAATCTAATTGTGTTTGCTACCACATATTTACTCAATCTTATATCAGATATGCTAAACAAGGTTTATATATTATAATATACAGTGTGTTTGCCTAAATTGTCTACATATGGGAAACTTTTTTATTATTAATTCAAAAAACATAATATTAGACTATTAAAACTTAAAATAGCATGTAGGGTGGTCATAAAGTAAGATCATTGAGTAAAGTTCTTCTTTACTCAATGGTAAGATTATTAAAAATTGGCCCTATATACGAGGTGTGTTTAGAAAATAACGGGAATTGTTAAATTTCGCGGGTTCAGAGGGTCCGGTTGTTATAAAATGTTCTTTATTATGTTGGTATACAATGTATACTATACATGCCCCCGAAGTATGATAAAAACTTTAGCTGTTTTCATTGTTTACTTTGTCTGTGGCAGCCGCTAAGGTTAGACGTGTTTTTATGAGCTCGGCGATTTTTCGTTCGTTAAAAGAAATGGATCAAAGAATTTGTATCCAATTTTGCTTGAAAAATGAAATAAATTCTGTGAAATGTTAACAAAGGCCTGCAATAAGTAAAACAAGAGTTTACAAGTGGTATAAGAGTTTCCAAGATGGCCGTTTCCAAGATGGCCGTGAAGACGTTGAAGATGACGAACGCCCCGAACGCACAAGCACATTAACAACCGATAAAAACATGGAAAAAGTGGAAGAAATGGTTATAAACCATCAGAGAAGTCGCTGATGATGTTGGTATATCGATTGGCTCATCCCATGAAATTTTTTCGAATGTTTTGGGTATGAAACGCGTGGCAGAAAAATTTGTTCTAAAATTGTTAAATTTTAAACAAAATTTTTGGCCAAAAACAATACTGTAATGATGCCCCAGCCTCCATATTCGCCAGACATGCCTCTGTCTGACTTTTTCCTATTCCCAAAAATAAAGAGAACCTTAAAGGGCCGTCGTTTTGCAAGCATAGATGACATTAAAAGCGCATCGCTGAAAGAACTAAAGGCTATCCCAAAGATCGAGTTTTAGAAGTGTTTCGAGTATTGGAAGAAGAGCTGGCACATGTGCATAATATCCAATGGGGACTATTTTGAAGGCGACAACATTAATGTAGACGAATAAATAAATATTTGTTTCAAAAAACGAAAATGCCCGATATTTTCTGAACACACCTCGTATAGAGAGAACTTATTTTAAAAAAGTTACACTTTGTTTCCTAAAAAATAATATTAGAATCTTCTAATATTATTCTTTTAGGAAGCAAAACTTTTTATAAAGAATAACTTCTTTCGTAAAATAATAATAAAAAAGTTTTCTATATGTAGACAACTGTATAGTTCTTTGTTTCTATTTTTTTTTTGTTCACTTGTTGCCAGTGGGAAGCCATGCCAGTTTTATGTGAGGATTAACATATTTTTTAGATTTACAAGGCCCCACTGAAGGGTTAAGGTACCTGTTACTCGAGACTTGTGCCTTGTAAATTTCAAAATATTTTCGAAATGATAAATTCAATTAACTTGGTGTTTATTTGTTTGTATAATCTAAGGGTTTTTTCTCTAGAGAAGAATATTGTTTTAACGCCGGTTCTCATAGGAAAAATTACGAAATTCGATATTAAAGACATAAAAGTTATTTTTGTAATTCGATTCTTTGAGGTATTATTTCTCTTTTCCAATTAGTTTTAATTAAGTAATATTTAGATACAATTTTATTTAATGATTTGGCTTATTGGTCATGACCACAAATTATTTTATCACTACACCGCAATAACAGTAGAAATTTTTTCCTTAAGTTGAGGAAAATGTATTAAATAAAATATCTTAGCACAAGCCAAGAATAAAATTTGCTTAGGAAATCATTTTTAGTCACACGTCGCATATGAAACCAAGCCATATCAAATTTAAAATTCAGTGGAATTATATTTATATTTATCTTAATTAACATAACATAAACAGATTTTTAAAGTAAGCACTAAGCTATAAATATTTATCTCGGCTTGAATTTTAAAGTGGACCCTCTTTTAAAATCATGATTAACTGATATAAAATCAATAGTAACCCTTTAAATATAAATCAAAACATGTTTATGCACTATTATTTAAGGCCCTTCTGTTTATTTTTATTGATTATTAGTCATGCTTCATAAATTAAAAGACATCAAAGTCCAAAAGGGTTCCCAACATTTAAAATATTTAAAATCATTATGTAGCATTTATTATTCAATTAAATATCTCATCCTAATCGTCTGCAATATGGTTTCCATCTAAATCGTTTTATAAAAACTAAAATAATAGCAATAATTTACCAAATTGGGTACACCTGCTCATTTAAAAAACATCAGGTAAAAGTTGTAATTTGTATGAGAACTCTTGGGGTATTGGATCCCAAAATAATACTACCTATTTCGTATAGAATATCGCAAGTTTTGTTCGCGCGTAGGTATAACTTTAAAAATAATAATAATAAATAAATCCCAATCAACACACTGTATACTCTAAGATATATCCATGTTTATGCACTTTAATATTCGGTTTTCGTGGCTGAATTTGAGCCACAACAATAAATCTAGCGAACATAAACATATACTCAATCAAATCACCTCTGTGTTTACGTTTTTGTTTACAAACATTCGAAGAGTTATTGCGATCAAAAAAAAGAACCCAAACAAAAGTTCTTTATTCTTGAAACTCTTGCCACAGATTTTAAATTAAAACTGTGTATATTTACCTTATAAATGTGATGTTTTCGAAGCAAAATCTTGAACGGAGCACAAGCATATTCAAACCTAAACACAAAACTTCCGCAGAACTGCTTCAACGGCACAATAAACTTAAGTTATTCGTATCATTTACGTTTAATATCACAAAAACTGAATGTTTTTAATTGTTTTTATTTAAAAAAATGCACGAAATCGAGACACCACGCTCACGGCCAACTCTTCGATTCTAAAAGCCCGCAGTTGTAAAACATTTGGTAGCTTGGAGTACGCTTCGGCTACGCTCGGCACAGTTCGGCAGTACTTTCATCAGTGGTGTTCTTGTGAATCTCTTTTGCCGCTACATGTTGTGTACTTTAATTAATTAATACACCGACGCTTTATCAGATTCATACTTATGTTTTTATTATATCGTGAGCATTTTTAATTTGTCAATATTTTATTCGAATTAGGCAAATGAAACATGCTTCAATTATAATATTATTATATTTAAAATATCAAAAAATATAGTAAATATGTATGTAGGTATATCGCGTTAAAAAGAGACAGGGCGATTTTATTTTATGCAGGTAAGAGAAACTGTCAGCCACCTTTTAAAATCTGGTACCACTGCGTTGTTCCAATTATTTTTAACTTGAAACAAGTTTAAAGACCTGCTTATTTAGCTTTACGTGGCTTTAACCAAACACAGTATACTATGGCAGCTAAGAATTACGATGTTTTACTTGATTATTCATTTGTTTTTTGGTAGAATTACTATGGCACGCCGTTTTAGCATTAATATTTATTTAGGATTTACAAAATTCTGCCCAAATAAATTATACGAGGTGTGTTCAGAAAATATCGGGAATTTTCGTTTTTTTTTAAATATTTACATATTTATTCGTCTACATTAATGTTGTCGCCTTCAAAATAGTCCCCATTGTATATTATGCACATGTGCCAGCTCTTCTTCCAATACTCGAAACACTTCTAAAACTCGATCTTTGGGATAACCTTTAGTTCTTTCAGCGATGCGCTTTTAATGTCATCTATGCTTGCAAAACGACGACCCTTTAAGGTTCTCTTTATTTTTGGGAATAGGAAAAAGTCAGACAGAGGCATGTCTGGCGAATAAGGAGGCTGGAGCATCATTACAAAATTGTTTTTGGACAAAAATTGAACAATTTTGGAACAAACTTTTCTGCCACTCGTTTAAAAAATTTCATGAGATGAGCTAATCGATATACCAACATCATCAACGACTTCTCTGATGGTTTATAACCATTTCTTAAACTTTTTCCATGTTTTTATCGGTTGTTAATGTGCTTAGGCGTTCGGGGCGTTCGTCATCTTCAACGTCTTCACGGCCATCTTGGAAACTCTTATACCACTTGTAAACTCTTGTTTTACTTATAGCAGACTCACTATAGGCCTTTGTTAACATTTCACAGAATTTATTTCATTTTGTAAGCAAAATTGGATACAAATTTCTTTGATCCATTTCTTTTAACAAACGAAAATCGCCGAGCTCATAAAACACGTCTAACCTTAGCGGCTGCCACAGACAAAGTAAACGATGAAAACAGCTAAAGTTTTTATCATACTTCGGGGGCATGTATACCAACATAATAAAGAAAATTTTATGACAACCTGTTATTTTCTGAACACACCTCGTACCTACTTACGAAATTATTTTTATTAAAAATGTTAGTTAGAAATTTTTAGGGACACCCTGTATAAACACGTACGTAAAAATATGTTTAGCAACTGTTTTAATGTGCCTTTTAATACAAAGTAAAAGTTCAGTCTTTTTCCCTAATTACAAATGCTTTTGTGTAGCGTAGTGAGAAAATCTCAATATTAAACAAGATAGCTATTATTTACGACAAAGAAAAATGAAAATGAAGCAAATTACCTGTAATTATAACTAGAGGATGTAGCATTGAATTTTTTAGCATGAAAATAATACTCTGAAATATTATACGTAATTAAATTTCAGAAAATTAATGGAAGCAATTATATTAAATACATCGGATATAAAGACTAGTTTTGAGCATCCTTTCTCTAGTCAGTTGATTTAATAAATTTGCGGAGCTTCCTTGATGCGATAAAAAAAAATGCATTTTTTCATGTTCTCCTTATCACATCCGCTGCAGTAGGTGGTGCTAACCTTGAGGGAATCAATGTAGGTATACTACTACATTTCTTATCACAACAGATATAAATATTTGTTAATTAAAATAAGAAAAAACTGCACAGCTTCGCTAACTCGCAAGCGAATCTAAAAATAGCAGATATAATTTAAGAAAAACAAAAGCAAAACGTATTGCTTCGTGTTAAAAAGGTATTATTGGCAGTAGGGGCTTTCTCAGAATTACAAACTGGATTTTCTAAATTGCGCTTCGATATTATTCATTATGTAGATAAATTAACCACGAAATATAGGTACTAATTTTATAGAAAAACTACTAATTTTATAGAAAAACTACGTCAATTACATAAAGTTTCGTGGAATGACCCTTTACTAAATTGTTAGGATTTTTTAAACAACTACGTTCCGTAATAAAATACCTAGTTAATAGTAGTTCTTACCAATTAAAATTAAGAAAATTTAGAGATTAAAACAAATGCAATAAGCATAAAAATACGGGTTTTAAGAAACAACATAATTAGGATAATGCAGGCCTTGGAATTATGGAATTTTCTTTTAAAATATGTACATTCTTTACTAATAACTTCGTAAATTTATATACAGGTCTATTTAGCTATTGTTTCTATTATTTGGATATATTCTTAATACATGTATACATTTTTAAATTAAGTTTAATTGTTTTGAAATTAAAAATACCTGAAAATACAAAATGGCTATAATTTACAAATAAAACATCAGTAAAAAACGGATGATCCGTTGCATAAAATTTAAAGCAAAAACAGATTCACGGAGGATAGAATCAACATAAATGGTTATAAAATTATTTCTTTTATTTTTTAATAATATTTTATATGTAAAACATCAGGGTATTTTACCCTGAATAAAACTAATTTGATTGGCTTCACTTATTATTTATTACTTTTTAACTAAATTTATTAAACTGCTATGATTCGACTTCTACAAATGTTCTGCGGACTCTGCGTTACCATTCGATTTCTAAGCTGTGTCCAGATTGTTTTGCTTAGTAGGCACACGTGCCTTTATTGCTCTACTGTCCTACTTTGGTAAAAAAGGGATTATCCTAACACGGCCATCCTGTTTTCGGAGCGTCCTCGCGCCGTTTCCTTTTCTTTTTTTTTATTTCTGCAAAAAGAAAAACCGAAACAGATTTTTGTTTTTAAAGTTGAAATATATCTAAATTAAAACTAATTTAAAGTCGGATGGTATTGCTATCCTCAGCAGTGGGTAGTAGGATTGCTACTATCTTGTTTTTTTTTTTGTCGGATGGGTTGCCATCCTCAACAGTGGGATTGCCACTTTCACCGAGGTGTTTAGTCACCTCCCAAGCATAATAGGACTCCTACTATCTTGTCTTTTTTGTCGGATGGGTTTGCCATCCTCAACAGTGGGATTGCCACTTTCACCGAGGTGTTTAGTCACCTCCCAAGCATAGTAGGATTGCTACTATCTTGTTTTTTTTTTTTTTTGTTTTTTTTTTTTGTCGGATGGGTTGCCATCCTCAACAGTGGGATTGCCACTTTCACCGAGATGTTTAGTCACCTCCCAAGCATAGTAGGATTGCTACTATCTTGTCTTTTTTTTTTTGTCGGATGGGTTTGCCATCCTCAACAGTGGGATTGCCACTTTCACCGAGATGTTTAGTCACCTCCCAAGCATAGTAGGATTGCTACTATCTTGTCTTTTTATTATTATTATTAAATACAGGACTTACATTTTTTTATTCCTTTGGCCACGGCCTCAGCTGTTCAAGGGCAGCAACTGTGGTCCTCTTGTGCAGAACATATCTCTCATTTGGTAACACCTGTCGAACAGTATAAGGTCCTCTATATTTTGGTTTTAATTTGCCTCCACCAGCAATTTGTGAATCTTCAATGGCTACAACGTCACCAGGAATAAACAATTTTGTAGAGCATCGAGTAGCGATAAATCGTAAAAATTGTTTGTTTGCATTGAAGTTCATTCGATTTCGAGCGTCTTCGACGGCCTTGTCTGCGTCGACAAAATTATCGCGCCCATCCAATAATAATGTCAATATCACTTGGAATTATTTCATCCAGCACAACAATAAAACAAATTTCCTAGGTCACGATCGACAACACAGTTATTAGTTCACACTCTTATAGCATAAACAATTTGGTTCCCAAATCCTGTCAACGCGTGCACTTTTTCGTTCGGCTTAATGATACCGTTCAATGTGTTTACAAGAGAGCGTTTGATGATTGACACATCGGCACCGCTATCAATAACATAACTACATGATACTGCATCGTCTTTACCGAGCACTGTTGCTGTCATTTTTTAAGTATTAATGCCTTTTTTGGTTTTCCACTTTTATACCAACAGTTTATTTCCATATGACCCAAGTAGGAACAATTGACAATTCGCTTTTATTGGCAGAAACAACTTCTTTTCGGGAGTTTTCTTTACGCACACTACGGCATGAGCTTTAATGATGTCCTTGTTGACCGCACTTAAAACAGGCTCCTTTAAAAACCTTTGTTTCTTTTTGTGCACAAAAACTTTTTGAATCCCGTTGATCTTTTCGGTGTCTTCCAAGCTTGTGTTCCATTATTCCAGAAGAACTGCTGATTCGGCGTGCATCGTATTCACTCAACAATTTCATTAGTTCGCGTTCTGTAGTAGGCTTCTGAATTCTAATTGCTGATTGCGCCTCTGCATTATTTAAATTATATTCTACCATGCCCAGAATGGTATCCCATGGCAGTTCATCGTGAAATTTTTTTATTGCACGTATTTTTTTATTACCATAATCACACAATGATTCGCAATCACGACTGCTAAGAGTTGCTGCAGTATACGCTCGTGCTCCTGGTGTTTCTCGATCAGGAAATGCTACAGTTAGGTCATTACAAAAGTTTTCCCAAGTTCGGGAAATGGGTCTCCAATCACAAAAGTATTTGCATGCTCGACGTTTCAGTGCATCTCCTGCTTTTGAGATCATTACAATGTCACTTACATTTAGTTCCCTTTTAAGCTGGGTGACATCATCCAACCAATCTTTGATTGAATAGGCACTTTTATCGGGATCGTAGCTTGTGACATGGAAAGAGTACACATGTCTT